CCACGATTATTAATACTATATAAAATCAAATAGTTATAAATAGACTTTTTTTTAAAAATCTTACTCTTGATTATTTCTTATTAAATTATCAAAATCTAAAATATGACTTCGTATAAACCAAATAAGATTAGAAAAATATTCTGTTGCTGTACGATTTAATATAAAACGATGCATTGCTGGATCAGGTACTACGAAAAAAAACATATCCATACGATTTTTTGTTTTTTTTCTATTTACCTTTATAAACATTTAGTGTTAATGTTCGTACAGCAATACGAACCATTGTTTCAGTATGATTAAAAAATTTTATTGCTTCAACATATAATGGAAAATCATTATTTCTCTAAATAAAAGAAATTCATCAAAAAAAAAAATAAAAATTAGAAAAATATATCATACTTCATTATAAAAAAAATTAATTGAATGTGTATTTAATTTTAATGAAAGAGTTTTAAGAAATGAAATATAATATGCAGTTATTTCTTCATCAGTAAAATCAAATTTATGTACAATTATATTATTAATATGATTATTTGATAAAAGATAATCTAGTATTAAAATAAAGATTCTTAATTATTCTATTATAAAAAAAAAAAAAAATTTGAACTTACATAAAGATGTTTCATGACGAATATTTTCAAAAAGAATATTGAGTGTTTGTAATACTTGTACACATATATAACGTCCATGTTTTTGACGCATATAATTTAAAAAATATGTTAACATTCCTCGTTCAAGAAAATAACTAAAAAGAAATTTATTCATATTGACAATAATAAATTGATTAGATACTCAATAGAACAGAAATATTTCATGAAAATTCTAATCGATCTTTTTAAGAAATCAAACATTGAAACAAGAAATAAACAAAAACCTACTCGAATACAGAACTATCATTTTGATCGCCCCAAATAAGAATTTCTGATATACATCGAAGTGTTTCAATTAATAAATCACGATTTGCATCAGATACAATTGAATTACGATTTAAAACACCATATAAATATCTGAATAAAATATAAAAATATCCCTTTTCTTCTTTGCTATATGTCGAATAACTTACTTAAGATTTTCAATCGAATGTGGATTTCGTGGTTTAGTTTGTCCAAACAAACCATTTCTTGCTCGAGTAAATACAGACATTAAAATCTACAACTGATTGTATAGAAAGTGTTTTTTGTTTTTCTTCTTTTCATTATGCTTCTTATCAAAGAGAATAAACAACAATATTTTTTTTTTCTATCCATCGTTGGATGTTCTATATTTTATTAAAAAGAAACATTAACATATTGTGTTTCTAAGACAAAAAAAAAAGACAACAACGGATTTTTCTTGTGTATCTTGTTATGTTGATGAGAATATTTAAATCATTAAGATTTATTCTCTATTCATCATTTTTTGTCGTTTAAGTTTCTTTTTTGATTCTTTCTTTTTAGCTGCTGGTTCATCATCAATGGCACCACCTGTACGTGTTAAAAGATTTTCTTTTTCACTTAATATTAATTCAATATGACATGGTGATGATTGATATGGATTAATACGACCATGTGCACGATATGTACGACGACGTATTTTAGGTGCACGATTTACTTGTATATGATCAATAACAAGATGATCAACATCAAGACCTTTAACATCAGCATTTGATTCAGCATTTTTTAATAATTGTAAAAGAATTTCAGCTGATTTTTTTGGCCAACGTCCTTGTGATACTTTAAATACTTTAGCTTGAGCCTTACGACCAACACCACCATTATAACGTTTGAATGGAACAATTTCCTTTTTATTGACAACATTTTTTAAATAACGTGTTGCACGTCGTAAAGTCATACGTTTAATAGCATTGGCTGTTTCACGTGTATTTTTAAAGTGAACACGTAAATAGGCACCACGAGTTTTGCAAGATTTTGCTGGATTTTCAACAGCGCCTATTAAAAAAAAACAAAATAAATAAATAAATAGAAAATTTTATTCATGGAAAACAAAAAAAAAAATTAACTTACGTGAATAGCGAACCATGATGTTATTTTTCTTGTTCGTAGAAATATAATTGAATGTATAAAGAACAAGATCTAGAAAAGAATGATAATTTTAAAATAGATATCGAAAAAATTTCTATCCGAATAATAATAAGTGTTTATTTGCAAGTGTTGGACTGTGTAATAAACAAGATCAAATGCTAATAACCAACCACAATGTTGATGTACTGCACTATCCTTATTAATTCAATGAGAAAATTTTGTATATTAAATTAGAATAACAAGTATAAAAAATTAAGATAAAAATTTTTATTAAAATTTTTTTGTTAATATTTTTACAAACTAAAAATGTAGATGTCGCTAATTTACACCATCACCGTAATATTACCTATTATTTTAAACATTGATTGTATCGATCGGTATGTAAACATGTTTTGCATTACATTAATTAAGTTGTTTCGAAGAAAATTGAAACAAAAAAAACCTATGCACGCTAATATGACATAAAGAAAAAATAAATACAGCCATGCTGTTTTAATCATAAGATTGATGCAGAATTTTTCTTTAAACACTAAAACGGATTTTCTAGACAATTTAATTTCTTAAGCTGTTTTATGAAGATGAATTGGACTAAATGTAAATGCAGTTTTCCATTCATACATCAAGGGAAAGTAATTTTCAAACTTTATAAAACTAAGCACTTCAACGAAAAAGAAACATTTTGTCTTTGTGCGATAATCCTAATAGCAAAGAGTTTTTTTTGTATAAAAAAATAGATTCGTCAGTGTAGATCAGTACATTAATATAATTAATTTGATATTGATATCAACCATTAGATTTTATGAAAATTTATTCCTTTCTCAGTCGATATAGCTATAGCATGTTTGAGCCGAATAGTTTAGCACGATACGGTATGACATTGTATGAAATGGTTGTCTTCAACTGTCCATCATTTGTAAAATGCAATAGGTGTTTAGTTTCGTAGACAAGTACACTAGCTATTCATTACAGTTAAGCGAACAACAATGATATGCGAAATTTAGATTAGATCTATTATTAATTACATGTGACCAGATGCAATCGAATATGTTGCACAAAATCGTAGTTCTATGTGCACTGATTTTTCGATATTATTTACAATAATAATAGTACTATTAAGTGTTCTGTAAACAGATGCAAGAGTTGATTGACTGAGTTCATGTTCATCTATTTCTAACGATCGCGTACTGATCTTGAAATATGTTTGTTCAATTTTCTTAATTTCTGTTTCTAGTTGATGAATAGTTGACGTCAATGTATCAATATCATCTCGGGTCACTTCTTGCTCATTTTTGATTATACATAAAGAATTTTTTCTTATTCTTGATCTAATTTCTCGGTAATAAGTCGTTCAAGTTGTTGACATTTCTTCTCAAAGAAATGGTCAATCTTTTTGCCATTGTTCAAGTTTTTTGACGGTCACTACTATGGTACAACAATCACAAAGAGCTCAAGATGTTCCCTTGCATTTCGGCGTAGTACATGATTGTGACATGTGTTGATGGTGAAAACTTGTTGGTTTTTGGATTGAAACAAGTTGTAGTGAGAAGAAACGAATAAAAAAGTTACATTTTTGCTTTATTGTATCACTCTCACGTTTTTTAAATAAAGAATTGAAAGAAAAATTAATATTAGTGTTTCAAATATTATAGAATCATAGATGAGTGAGTTATCATTTTTGCTGGGGAATATTTTTATTATTTAGTGAACTTTGTTAACATCATTTACAAATTTACATAAAAACTTTGATTAATCAAAGAAATGAATAATTGCCGAATAACGATTTAGTTTTGTTTTCTTTCGGTTATTATTACTTATGACATGAAGCAAAAAAACAACAACTTTTTAATACGACATACAAGCATTGAATCTTTTGTCTTGATTATAAAGAATACAACATTCATTCTTTATACGCTTATTAGAAAATTTCAATTCTTTGATAGTAGACATTGAGAGTAACAAAGTGAATTTCACCATAGATAAATTTCGATATTGTTCTTTCGATGACATATCAACTCTTAAGATTATAAGTTGAGTAAGTATCTAATATTTTTTTCTGGATTCAATGATACGAGTGAGAGAGGAATATTATGGCTGATGTTTACATACGAAAAAAGAAATTATTTTCATGAAACAATTGATTTGAAAAATGAAATAAAAATTCCTGTTCAGAAAAATCCATTGTTCTTCAAGAATATTTAAAAAATTCTTTCAATGAATGATTCTCACAACTTTCAGTATTTCGTATAAACAACAACGCCTTTAGCGTATAAACTATTCACAGGAAGCATTTAAAAGTTGATAGAACGACAACGACCACGATCTTAAGATCAAGACTAATTGAAGTATCTTTGAATCAGTATGATCGTTCTCCATCTTATGGGCATTAAAAACATTCAAAAATGAACACAACGAGGAAAACGTACTCTGGGACCTCAATGACTCATTTGATGTGTATGCATCAATAATTATAAATAACCAAGTGAAGAGTAGGAAAAAGGAAGAATATTTTCGTTATCACATTTATACCTTTGATGTCATTGTCGCATAAAATCACAAACACGTGTATATCTTAAAACGATGGAAAAGACTACGACTAGAACAAATAGACATCGGAGACGGCTCTTCAATAAGTTTATCATTATCTGGCTCGATACTAACAAGAATAAGATGTATGATGAATGTCAGGAAATGATGACTCAACATCAACTATCTACATTCACTTCCGTTCGAAAATTCAGTGATTTAGATCAATGCGTTGATTCTCTCACTAATATTGATTATGATGATGATGATAAAGTTTTTCTTATTATCTCCAGTAACCTTGGTGAGACAATCGTGCCATACATTTATGCCATGGTCCAACTTCATTCTATTTACATACTAGATAGTCAATATGACTACCATAAGACAAATGAATATAGAAAAGTTAAGAATAATTTTACGGATGTCAAATCCATATTCGATCAAATTGAACAAGACATGAAACAATTTCAAAAAGATTGTGCATCAATCAGTATAATCACCTCATCTTTAATTGATCTGAAGCAACTCGATCAATCATTTATGTATTCACAAATATTGAAAGAGATTCTTATAGAAGACCCCTTTGACGAAGAAGCCAAACATAAATTTGTCGATTTTTGTCATAAATACAATGCTGAATATGATATTGATTTAAATGTGATTGATAAATTTATTGATGATTATGATCTTCATTCACCTATTTGGTGGTATACCAAAGAAGCATTTATTTATTCAATAGTCAATCGAGCTCTACGAACTCAGAATATTGAAGTGATCATCAAAATGGGTTTCTTCATACGCGATCTTCATCGACAAATAGAACAACTTCATCGAGACGAAATGCAATCAACAGAGAAAACAATTGTTTACCGAGGACAAGGATTATCTCATAGTGAAGTCGACAAATTGAACAGTAGCAAAGGTGGTCTTTTATCATTCAACAATTTTCTTTCGACTAGCACTGATCGACAAGTTTCGTATGCATTTGCAGATAGTGCTGGTAGCAATCCAGATTTGATCGGTATTTTATTTCGAATGGAAATCGATCCAACGATTCGATCAAGTCCATTTACTTCTCTTGATAACGTGAGCTATTATGGGACTTCAGAGAAGGAAATTTTATTCTCAATGCATACTGTCTTTCGCATTGGGAAAATTGAACAGCTTGGACATCATTTGTGGTACGTTGATCTCATTTTAACAAATGATGATGACGATGAGCAACTTCGTCAACTTACTGAACAAATGCGACAAATAACTTGTGGATCAACACGACTTGAACGTCTCGGTGCACTGATGATTGAAATGGGCGAAAGTAACAAAGCTCAAGAGATGTATGAAACAATGCTCGAAACAGCATGTAATACAGATGTAAAAGAAAATGCAGAACTTCACCATCAGTTAGGCTATGTTTTTGACCAGAAGGGTGAACTCGATCGAGCATTATTACATTATCGTGAGTCATTCAAACTTCATTTGACTTTTGTGTCACCCGATGATCCATGTATGTCCACCATTTATTCAAATATTGGCTCGGTTCTTCATGATCTAGGTAAATATGATGAAGCATTGGAACACTATCAACGAGCTCTTACTGTCGTTGCTGGCGAATCTTCGGAAAAGGATGCACTCTTTCACAATAACATTGGTACAGTGCTTCGTGATAAAGGCAAATACGATGAGGCACTTAAAAGTTATGAGCGTGCACTCAATATTCAACTCGTTTGTCTTTCATCTCTACATCCATCACTAGCCACCACGTATGGTAACATCGGTCAAGTCTATTTCTCAATGGGAGACAATTTGATAGCACTTTCATACTATCAGAAAGTGCTTGATATACACAAGAGATCTTTACCACCTGAACATCCCTTAGTTGCTACCTGTCTAAATAATATGGCCTCGATTTACTATGCATTAGAAGACTATTTGACTGCTATCTTGTACTATCAAAAAGCACTGAACATCATGGAAAAATCAGAATCATCTCATCATCCAACATTAGCTGTCATGTACATTAATATAGCCATGCTTTTTCAACTTCTCGGTCAAAACAATGAAGCTATTGGACATACAGCACAAGCCGTTGATATTGCAAGTCAGGTGTTCGGATCTGATCATCCTGAAACACTTAAATATAAACAATACCTCAATAACCTTAGAAATTCATTCTAATATACCGTATTATCCTGTGTTTTTGACATATTTATCCACATCTCGCTCTGATGTATATCACTCTTGAACAACATCCACTGGTTCAATTTCTTGTAGAAAATTGACTACATGCAATATAGACGAGTGCGAGATATCATCATTTTATGGTTTTTTTCTATTTTTTATGCTTAAAAGCTGTTATGCGAGAAATTTGCTTCCTTTTTGTTTTATCAATCTCCTTCATACAATCACGAAGCTTTTCGCTGCGTTTTCTATTCATATTCAACGAAAATCAACTTTTTTCTTCATAAAATCAAGAAAGATTGCAATACTTTTCAGTTTCATGAGGGTGGGGATGCAGTACCATAGAAGACACATCCACACCCTCATTTGACGATTTAATCATTTATTGTCACTATTCCCTTATGACTACATCATTTTCTTTCCTCACTTCTTTGATGCGCTTCTTACCTTCTGTGTCCTTTCATCCAATTGTGTAGGGTGATTTTGCACCCTACCAGATGAATTTAACGTTCTATGGGCTAGCATTCGAGTACATACAGAGGTCTGTAACATACATTTATATCCCTGTCGTCGTTTCGTGCGGTATACGTACACGTATATTTGTCTGACCGTTGTTTGTATCGTCTACCATACTATGCCAGAAATGTTTAAGACTCTTTCTGGTCACGAACGTATGAATAGAATTATTATATTAAAAAAAATTTATGAACTATCAGGAAAGAAGTACGAAGTTTATTGTAGTAAACATACAAAGATTATTTACAATTTTGTTTTCACGAGCTCTATGTTTCTTTTCGATTGTGCTATATACGGATGAGTTGAAGGAAGAGTTTGTTCGTCAATATTGAGTGCTTGTTCGTAAAATGAAAGCGCTTTCGAGTATTCGCTCATACTATCATACACCAAACCGATGTTGTTGTAGGAAGTAGCCAAGTCAGGATGGTTGGGAGGAAGACTTTTTTGACGTTTACACAAAGCTCGTTCGAAAAATGAAAGTGCTTCCAAGTATTTGCTCATGCTTTTATAAACCCTTCCGATATTGTCGTAGCAAGTGGCCAAGTCAGGATGGTTTGAAGGGAGAGTTTTTTGTCGAATATGGAGTGCTCGTTCAAAAAATGACAGTGCTTCCGAATATTTTCCCATGCCATTATATATCAAGCCGATGTTATTGTAGGAAGTAGCCAACGAAGAATGATCAGATAGGAGAGTTCTTTCGTAAATAATGAGTGCTCGTTCGTAAAAGGAAAGGGCTTTTGAGTATTCACACATGCTGTCATACACCAAACCAATGTCATTGTAAGATGTGGCTAACGACGGATGATTTAGCGGAAGAGTTTTCTCGTAGGTATCGAGAACTTGTTCGTAAAATAAAAGTGCTTTCGAGTACTCGCCCATGTTTTTATACACCCAGCCAAGTTGAAAATTGAATTTCGCTTGATCTTTATCGGAAGATGCTGTTTCTAGTAGATGTTGATAGATTTGTTCTGCTTTTGAAAACTCTCCCACTCTAATTAGTATTTCTCCTAGTCGAGACCATCCTGAGGTCCAACTAAGCTCTTTGGTCATGTGTGCCGTAAGTATGTTTAAATCATTGTTGTCATTACCCGTGAATGTCAGATTAACTTGCCATAGACGATCAGTATGATCGTCGAGGATCCGTTCCATCTTATCGATATGAAAAATCGTGTGCGTTGAGAAAAGAATTTCTTCCTCTTGCCCCTGATAGTAGCCGACCTTGTTGACGTCAGCAAAAGGAGTCGATGAAAATGACGATGATGTGGTGTTACGTGTTGGGTCGATTGTCATAACAAAAAGTATGCCAACTGAATTAGTATCGAGTGCTGCCAGACGTGCAAAGTTTTTCAACGAAAGATCACGATTGCGACTTGTTGAAAGAAAATTATTAAAAGACATAAATCCTCCTTGAGTTTGTTTCATTTTTTCAAAGTCTTGGATTGGCAAACCTTGACCTCGGTATACTTTAAATGGTACCGTTGTCGTCATCGATTGTTGTTGTTCACGATGTAATTGTTCGATATGTCGATGTAGATGTCGAATAAAGAAACCCATTTTTAGAATGATATCAGCGTCAAGTACTCGCAAGCCTCGATTGAGCATTGAATGAATAAAATATGGCGCGGTATACCACCAAATGGGTGTGTGATGACGATATTCTTCTTCGAATTTTTTAATTTCATCTTCGACAATATCATCTTGAAGACGACAGTATTCAACAAATTCTTTGATGGATTTGGTATCATCATCATCGATTTCCAAAAGGGCTTCTTTAAACAATAGCGTATACATAAACAAAGCATCAATGCCATGAAAACTGATCGAGATCATAGCTCGATCACATCGTTCACGATCGGTTCGTAATGATTCACAAATCGGCTCGATATCATTGTGAACACCCTTTACCTTTGATATTGTTTTGGACCATTGTTCATGGAACGATTTATTCTCACAAAAGATATAAATGGAATCTAGTTGTGACCATACATGAATTTCTGGTACGATATGTTGTCCCAAAGAACCAGAAACAATCATAAATACTTTCTCTTTTTTTATTTCACCAAGAAAATTGATGCATTCTTTAGCATCAGTAAAAGTTGTAACTGACGCCACAATATGCCGTAAGTATGTTAATGAGTTTTTGAAATCTTGTTTTGATTCATCAATATTAGCATCGAGCCAGATGAGAAGAAAATTTTGAAGTATACGACGAACCCGGACAGGCAGTACAGCAGTACTGTTGGTGATGGTATTGACTGCTTCTGCTGCTTCAGATTCACTAGCAGCAGACGAAAAAGAAGATGGCGGTGTTAATTTCTTGGATTGGTTAGTTCCTGACAAGGAGTATGAGTCACTAGTGGCACTCGTTATCGAGTTTTTTTTGTCCATAATTTATGTTGCATGAATGAATGCAACAAACACGATTTCGCCTCCCTATATATCTTGCCGTTTCTTTCTTTTGTTGACACTTTTTTGACCAATTACTGTAAGTATATGTATTTCGTTTGTCACTTAAAATATTTCTCATCGATTGTTCGTTTAAGGAGTGTTGACAAAGCCATGATGGCGAAATCTACATGCATCAAACAAGGAAGGAAGAACAAGAACGAAAATGAGTAAATTAATGAATTCATCGTCATTCAAAGAAAAGAAAAACAAACAACCATAAAATAGGATATACGAATGTTGTTCTTGGTTGGCAAGCTTTTTTTCCCACATAATAGTTGGTATTTTCATGCAGCAAGCAGCTAGACGAAGTTGAGGAAGTAGAAGCCCTGAAACGTGCGTATTTTGTATGCTTAGTTCGTTGGAATCAACAAGATTCAAAAGTATACTGCATAAAAAAAGTGAAATACACTATTGACGGATTGATTAATTTCATCATAGGATAGCATTAAGTATACTAATCATTGCCTCTGGTTGAAATAAAATTTCACAAAATTATTGATTTTGTTTTCATATACTGCTTGATAAATATTTTACCAATCTTTTATTAAAATTTCAACTCAAATAGGTAGACTTGCACAAAAAGATAATATACATACATATACATATAGATTGGAGTACAATGCAGCAAGTAGATTTGAAAAGTTAACGAATAAAAAAAGAGATTATTTAATCTTTGATTGTTTGTGATTTTGTTTTTAAATGCATCTTTTATATTGTTCAATGATAGGGATAAATAAATAATACTTTTGATTTTAATTAAACCTTTCATTTTTATTTATTCATATAAGCAGTTTTTTTTTATTAATTTATATTAGCTGTTACAATAATAAAATTGATTGTATTTGCTATTTATATTAAGGTAACATTACAAGCATTCGAAAGCAGAAAAAACAATAATGAATCATGATCATTATTTTCATATTGCAAATAATGTGAACTACATATAGTCAATCATAAAAGTCATTAATAAAAAAACATTGCTGTGTTTAAAATTTCATAATGAATGACAGTAATACCCACGATCCAGAAATTGGCAATTCACGGAATTCAAGAAATTCAAGAGATGTTCATATCTTATAGGTAATAACTGCTTATTAACACCATGACAGTGTAGAAGTTCAAGCAAGTTTATAAGACATCATCATATATTAAATTTTTTGAATTCCCACATTTTTCTTAAATTTCTTCGATTGTCTTGAACTCCACAATGGTTACAAACAATTGATATCGAAAATCTCAAAATCTCTTGAATTCATTGAATTTCAATTTCTGAATTGTGGGGTTTCTCATGAATGAATGCACGATTATTTAAAAGTTTTTTTTTTTGAAATTCATTTGCATATTCATTCAGTAGTGAGTGAGACTAACCAATACTTGTGGATTAAGACTTACGTATATGAATGATGCAGGGTCTGTGTGTAGATGTGAGTGAAGTGAACAGCAACAGAACCACACACTCACATCATATTATATTCGTGCATTAAACTCATTGATTTTTATCCCATATATTCATTTGTGGTTTTTAGAAAATTAATCGAAAGCATTATTATATAGTTACATTTCAATTTCTTGTTTATATTTGTATATTCAGAGAAAAGATTTCCATTCAATTTTCGTACTATTATCTAGCCATTTTACTGAGTAATGTTTCTAACCAAATCGATTTTTTTCGTCGATTTTTTTCTACTCTGTACTTGTCTAAATGGTCGGGATGTTTTTTGTTTTACCACACGAAAATTTTCGTTGAAACCAATGTCGGTATCTCTTGCTTCTATTGTTTGTTGCTAATCTCATTGTTATTTTATCTATGTTCACTAGAGATGGTCGTTTATTCATTGTATCAATGTAAATAAATACTACTTTCGTTTTTTCATGTTCTCACGAAAACGAAAATTCAGTGTGATATTGTGGTGTATTAAGCAAGATGTCCGATAAGAATGTGTCGATATCTTTCTTTCAATACTTCATTGTGGCTCCGTATAATAACTTATATTAGCTTTAATTTTTGCTTTACTTGTCGTTTTGTTGCCCAA